AAAGCCGGAAAAAAGCGGCGGACATTTTTATTTAAATGCCGCGGGGGATATTTAAATCCCCCGCGGATTTCCCTATTACGACCTGTGAAATTAACATGCCCCTTTCGGAAAAGGGGCCAGTGTAGACGTAGCCTGTGTGTTTGTGAGAATGAGAGAGATACACACAGTGTGTGAGAGTGACAGAGAATTGCATTGCCAAGCTCCCTCCATCCCCTTCTGTCTGTGTGGAGATAGGGCACAGGAGTGGAGGGAGGAGGGACACCCTGACACTGGTGCCCCCCTTTTCTCCTTCCCACACCCTGCACAGCAGGCAGGAGGCTCCCAGGGGGACAGTTCCAGGGCGGAGGGCAGGAGCAGAATGGCTGTGGGTGGAGGGACAGCTGAAGTGCTGCTCTTGATAGCTTCCAGGCCAGGCTGGTCGGGATCACCAGTCGGAGGCTCGGGATCTAATGGTAGATCCCGATCTACTGGCTGGTGGCCTAGATGGTACTGGGTCCTGCCGTGAGGGTAGGGGACTGGACCCGATGATCTCTTGAGGTCCCTTCCAGTTCTAGTGTGCTATGATTCTATATTTTTCTACTGCTTTAATGAAAAAAATAAAATAGCATTCTCATATCTGTCAACCAAAGGATTTGCAGCCTAAAGAAAAGAGCATTGACTTATGTTTCAATGGCACAACCTTTATGAATACACTTTTATCAAAATTGGCTTGAATGGGAGCTCTGTGTGAGAAAAGACTTAGGAACTGGGGCCCAATGCAAGAGACACCTGTATTGCAGACTGATTGGCTTAGTTGCAGAAATAAGATTTTTTATTTGGTCTAATAAATGATGCTTCTGCATCTTCAGTACATCAGCCTAGAATACATTAGTGAAATCATTGATTTTATTGAGAGTTCCTGGCATTCATAGGCTTGTTATTGTTACCTTTCCCCTGGAATGGTTTCCTCACAGATATAAGCAATCATTAACTTATGTGTTAGCCTTTCGATCCTCTCTTTTTGACATTTATCTCTGTTTTGGAACACGGTGGAGCTTTATCTGGGAACTTGGCAGAGACAGAATGGGACTTAGAATAGTTGGTGCCAGTTTCATTAGTTGTGTATGTCATTTCAAATAAAAGATGTTTATAAGTAAACTGTTGGCACCCGGATACCTCACAAAATGCACAATATGCATCGGGATAGCCATGTAGCAATATGATAATACAATCAATTGATTTGATTGCCAGTAAGCCAGGCAGCAGAATATGTCCCATTCCATCTCATTCCATCCCATTCCATTCCATTCCAAACTTATGCCTGCCTAATGCCTTATCAATAAATTGGTTTTCAGTATCACTCATCTCCTCACAGGCAACCGTAATTCTTCCCAAAGTACTATCATCTGCCATTAAAAAAAGTAGTTGGATAAAACAATGCAATACCTTGTTGCACACCTTCCTTAAATGGAGTATGGAGAGTTATACCCTTTGTTTGTGGGCTTTTAGCTAATTTACAGTCTTTGTGACAGTATTCCTGTCTACATCTACCTGACAGAACTTTTCAGGTATGAATAATGTTATCAGATGCCACATTAAATCCTAACACATCCACTGAGTTTATTATACTATTAAAAAAGGGCCACTCAAATTACTTAACTTTTGTACATTTTAATTGACTGGACAACCTATAGGGAATGGCTCCTTTACCTTCGAACCTATACTAAATTGTTAAGTCTGCAATATAATACTGTTTACAGTTTTGAAAATCTAGACACCAGAAAGATGCCAATGAATTGGAAGGAGTTCATCAAAAATCAACAAAATAATCATTGGCTTTGATTTATGAAGAAAGTTTAAAATACCTAAATAGATACAAGCTTGGCTAAATGACGACTAATGGGAATTAAACAAACATCTACATGAATCTGAAAGGTCTAAACACCAACGCACTGATTATCAACTGGAGTTAACCATCATAGCTCCATTGGTTTCACAGGTGTTAAGACAGTTTAAACTAGCACAAGGGTAGGGTGCTTTTTGGCAGTTACTCATTTTGGGTTCAACCCAGGTGCTAGGAATCAGGAGATTCATGACGAGTTTCCTAGAAGGAACAGATGATGTGAGCAAGCCCAGTTCTCCCTTTTTAAAAATCATTAGGGATAATGTGTTAAAAATATTTTTCTTCTTTTTTGAACATTTTTTCCTGCCTCATGGGCTCCAAATTTGTAACAAGGGTAAAAAAAAAAATAACTGATTTCATTGGGCCTCATGGGAGACATTCCTTTCCTCTTCCTGGGATTTTAATGTATAAAATTTCATTTGTGAAGACAGTTTTCCAATTGTCAGAAGAATGTTCCATGGTATGTTACTGTTAATGAACAAAACTTAATGGATTGTCTAAAATAGGAAAAACAAAGCAAAACAAGAAAAATTCCTGATCTAGCGAAAATGCAGAATTTATTTTATTGACTGGAGCCCTGCAGAAATCCCCAGTGTCACCCATACTCTTTTATAGAATGTTAAAGAGAAAACATCAGCTTCATCCCTCAGGGCATGAGGGCTATTTCTTCAGGGTGCTATGTAGTTGATGTTATGATTTTACCATTCATATTTCTGTGTATATGAATTCAATAGACATCTATATATGAATTCAATAGACATAAATAGACATTTGTGATTCATGCAGTATAAACACCTAATTGAAGACTCCTGAAAAGCTGTCTTTGGAAAAATCCTTGAATTTTGTTTTCTGTTCTCTAGTAAGTTCATTTCAACTATAACTGAGTTAGGATCCAGCAGCAATGTCTGCTAGTTGAGAGGAGTCTTCTGAACTGTATATGACACCTGAATAACTCCAGTTCACAACATGTTTTTTTCCAATTTCATAATACTCTAGCAATGACATAAATCACCTCATTGGATAAAATTCACCCATTGGCAAAAGGCCTCCTGCATACACTACAAAATCTTCACAGTAACTTTGCATGAGGTGGGACTAAGGATGTAGGTGGAACAGCCGTGTAAGGGGGCGGGGGGTCTCTGAATGCATCCTACTGAGATATGGGTTTTGCACTAGCTATGAACTGACTGATGAGCAGGAGAGTAGAGATGTTAAATTGTGAGTAACTGACTAATCGAATAGTTGATGCATTATTGATGGGGACTGACCCCTGGCTCTATGCAGCGCTTTCATCATTGAAGTGTAGCAACAGCTCTGTTGCTACACTTCAAAGGTGAAGGCGCCCTATTGACTAATTGAATAGTTGATGAAAAATGCTGATAGAGGCAAGGGGTAGGGAAGCAACTAGTTGACTAGCTGTCGACTATCCAATAACCATTTGCTTATCAGATAGTCAACTAGTCCTTCACATCCCTACAGGAGAGCATTAGGAACAGGAAGGTGTAAGTGTCACCAGATCCAGGCTTACATGGAAACTGCCTGTGCAATCAAGACACTGAGTGATAGCAATCATTACTGGCTCTTCTTTCTGCTGGAGTTGTGCGTGAAGGTCTGCAGTGATTCTCTCCTGGAACACTGGGGTCTCCAGGTTAAGTCTTGAGATTTCTTAAGGGTAGAGGACATAAATTACTTTGTGTAGGATGCAAGAATTACATTCTGAACATCAAGTACATATTCACTATTCTCAGACTTTGTATTAGTTAATAGCTGAAAAGTGTTTTGAAAATGAAATTTGTAATAATAGTATTACTGTTTAAGGCATATTATAATTATATTAACATGGAAAACTAAGGGGCTGCACTCTCTTCTCGCTACGCTTGCCTACCCCCTTCTCTCTGGCTGTTTTCGCTTTGCTGAGAGAACTGTTGATGCTGATGACAGTATAATGTCATTCTGTCACCGAGCAGGAACATTCTGTCATCTGGCAGGAATAACTTTTTTATACAGAGAGAGACATTATATACATTTTAGTCTACCTTAAATACTTTAAGTGCTGATTTTTATTCCTCTAGCTCTGTATATATAAATAAAATATTTGTGCCATTTTGAACACTATATTATTGCTTACTTGTCCTCTTGTATAATTCTTCCATAGAATGATGTAGCATTAAACTAAATTAAGTCATCTTAAATAGCTAACACTATCACTATACCTAATGCATTAAATATTCATCCAGGAATTGAATATCACATGCTGTATGTTTTTTTTCTGCAGAATTAACAAAGACATAATTGTACTTGACAGAGGAAGCAATATGAAGGAGAAAGTCATCATTTAATGTACCCTTGAAATGTGTTCATCTATATTTTGACCAGAATTAAAAATTAGTCAAACTGCACACATCTTAGTGGCTAAGAACTGGTCTAGAAGTTCAGTGATCTGAGTTCCAAGCCTAGTTCTGTCTTTAACCACCTATGTGACCTTTACTAAGTTACTTCATCTCTCTGTGCTTCCATTTCCTCTTCTGCCCTAGTTATGTCAGCTCTTCAGTGAGGATGGGCTTTTACCATGAGTTTGTACATTGCCTAGCATATGAGTTTCAGATCTTAGTTGGGGCCTCTATAATTTACAGACTAAAGAACAGAGCATCTGTCTTATATGTGGTGTTTCAAAATAGAATTGCACTAAACTGCTAAATGGCAATAGCTAGGCAAATAACTTATTCAAAATTAATTATCAATATGTTCACTTAAATATTTAAACCAAAAGAGACCCTGAAAGCCTACAAAACTATTCTGCAAATTTGACAGAGCTAATCTATGTAATATTGTGTTCCCTTGTTGTTACCCTTGACTTCTTTTCTCCATGCCCTGTTCCTCTCCCATCTTGTCTCTCCTTATGCCAAAATCTTGCAAAAAGCTCCATCTGGATGAACCCTTGCACTTGGAAATCTCTGCATGATCAGGGTCTTAGAACCATAAACTCTTTGATGTGGGTCTGTCCTGTACTATCTATCTGTGCCGTTTCCAAAACAATGGAATGGAATAATGGCCACAGTCTCTAAAGAGTTACTGTAAATATAATCAATAACAGCAGTATTAAATAATAAACACTTACCTTTACAAACAAAACACTTAATATGAAAATGTTTGTTCTGAACTCTCAAAACTTCCCCTTTGCATGGGCTTCCACAGTTATTGCAGAGAATTGCTGTAGCTGATGGTTTCTCCAGGTGGCTATGGACAGCCTGTGGTTGAGAAACTGTAAAGAAAGGCAAGTTGTATAAGAACATGCAGTAGATTAAAAATGTTTGGTGAACAAATTACATCAAATAATGGTCATATTAGAGCAACAAATAATGAAAATGGACATTTCAGTCAAAACATGCCATGAACATGAAATCTAGGCCCAAATGGTCTCACTTTTCAGGAGTTGGCCAGCTCTCCTGATGTGGTCTTTGAAAACTTTATTTTAACTGAATTCCCTTTACAGTTGTATGCCAGTGTAAACACTCAGTTCATAAATTTAAGCTTCACTGCCGATATTCACTTCCATTTAGGTTACCACTTCAATAATGCAATAGAATTATACATGGCTTATGAATTTCTCAGTCAACTTGAACAAAACCTTTTGGGCTTTAGGCCGTATAAAGAGAATTCCACAAAAATGGTGTGGGGAGCGGGGCGGGTGGAGGAGGGGTTATTTAATTTTTTTTCAGTCTGCATCACACTGTTCAATGAAAATTAAATATTTTGTCAAATTCCCCCCCAAAACCACCCTAAAAACAAAACATCAAAACAACCAGCCCTAGTTACAAATTATTTGCTGAAATTAATGTCTCACAGGATCTCACACATCTGATTCTGTCTCAGTCTTTTAGGAATTACTAAAGACTTTCCTATAGCTCGACTGATAAGTGCTTATAAGTGCAATCCTCACCATGCCTATACATATTAATTGTATATCCGCTACATGTGCCATCTCATAGCTAACCTTTTGGGTATCAACCTCCACAGCCCACTAAACACAACTCTTTGGGAAGCACTGACATAGATCTTCAGATAATCCTTCTTCCCTTTTGTTGCATGCACTGATGAGAATTGAAATAGCTTAAAATGTTTACATATAAAGCACCATTGTTAGCCTCAACAATACCATCCAATTGCTATGAATGGGCTCGGAGCTATTTTTCATGCCTACTGCAAACTCAGACAGATGTCTACATTAGGTGCACTTGCCTGTGCTCTCAGCTCCCATGTTAATCCCACCAACACCAATGTATTGTAAATAGCAAATCTCCAGCCAAGAGTCACAGAATGTTTTGGGAACTTTGAGGAAGGTTAAGCGCAATAACATAATTACAGATTTCTGGTATGGTACATGTTTGGAGACCTTGTTACTTACTTTGCTTAATCAGCAGACCCTTTCTTCTGTATGTGGCACTGAAGCACCATGACTGTTTCTGGCCAATAGTTTGCAAACTCAAGTTGAAATGGGGATGTGGGGGAGGAAAATCACAGTGCTTTACATCATTACTAGTAATGAGCTTGCAATGAGAAATTCATTGACAACTCTGGCAGAAAAATGAAACAGTTAAGGTATGTCTAGACTACATACCTCTGTCGTTTCACGAGGCATAAGGGATCAGTTGGCAAAGGCTTCTCCCGTGTGTAGACTGCCACGCTGTGCCGGATCAGCTGATCACCGGCACAGCGCGATGGCCATGTTTATTTTAATGAAGCGGGGATTATTTAAATCCCCACTTCATTGACTATGTCGGGTAGCCTAATCTAGACATACCCTTAGCTATGCAATAACTTTGCTCGTCATAGTCACATAGAGGAATCCATATTTGTTGTATCACAAAATCTGCCAAAATAAAGACTGAGATAAAATTTTGAAAAGTGACTAAGTCTATAGCAGCCAAAAGGCAGGTCTACACTCACTGGGAGATTGGTGCTGTGACAATTGGGAGGGGGGAGCGTTAATATAGCAACCACTGATCACTCTCTCATTGACTCTGGTACGCCATCAGAATAAGAAGTGTAAGGGACAGTTTTTCCCATCGATCCTCCCGCAGTGGAGATTTCACAGCAGTATGTGGACTCCAGCTACACTATTCACATTGCTAGAGTTATGTAGCTAGGTCGACATTGTCCCATAGTATAGACCTACCCTATGTCTCATGTAAAGTTGATGGGACTTAGCCAATTGAAACAATAGCAGAAATTTTTGGAAAGTAAGATACAACCATTAATGTTGGAACTGATGTAGAATACTAGGGTTAAAATACTTACTCTCATATAAATTAAAGGTTTTACCTCCAAAATATGGCACTCTCTGGTCCAGCAACATCCCTGGTGAGGCAGGATCATGAATGTCCTTGGACCAGAGAGCCCAGGAGCTTAAGGGCAGGAGGGCCAGCCAGGCTGGGCATCAAGGTCAGCAGCCTGGCTGGGGAAAGCACGGGACTAGGCTAGACCCCCAATAGCAGCCTCTAGCAGCCCTTGGGAGTATGGGGCTGAGGGCAAAGCCCCATGGCAGCACGAGGTTGGAGTCCCTGCAGCAACCCCCAGGAGCATGAGGTCAGGGCTGAAGCCCCGTGGTTTCTCCTAGCGGCACGAGCCTGAGGCTGAGGCTGTGCGGGGCTGGGGTCAGAGCCCTGTGGCTTCCCCTGGCTGTGCAGGGCTGGGACTGGGGCTGCACGGGGCCAGGACCGGAGCCCCAGCTGTGCAGGACCAAAGTGCTGTGGCAGGAGCAGGAGCCTATGCTGCTCAGAATTTGTTTTTCTACATTATGTGACTTTCAGCCAAAAGATATTTTTCTATTCCATTTAGTAAATAGTACATTGGACTTTCTAGTCCATAAGCACTTAATGTAAATATTATTTTAAATAAACTTAAATCTTCCTGCAATAACAACACATACACACACAAAAAATAATTCCCCACCCAATCTTTATTCTGTGTATGTTCCCGGTTAAAAATAATTGCTAGGTTAGCTTTATTTCTATTTGTGAAAGGGGATTGTGAGGCTCTTTATCCTGAGCATCATGCAAATGCCTATTGACATCAACAAGAAATGCAAGTATATGAAGGCATCACCGAGTCCATTTAGGGCTACCAAAATATTGGGCGAATTAAAAATTTGCTGCCATCTTGTGATTTAAAATGGAAATTGCACCTATTTGGTTGTTTATTTGAATTGGTATTCCAAAGCATTATATAAAATGTTGAACACAAAGTGGCTAATTCCTGATATTGTGCTAAAATACATATACTGTACTATTTTACATTTTAATATGGTAAGTAACAGTTGATGGACTGACTTATTAAGTCAATTAATTGTAACAGGCTTGCATCACAACACGCTACACTCATATTAGTTTTTCCACCTGGAAACAGATTAATACAGATAACTTATAGAAGGGAAAAAGGAGACTAAATTACATACTGACTGTCCCTCTTCTTACTTGGGATATTCAGCATATCGTTCTGAAGTTACTGTTTTTTCCCAAAGTGTTTCTAGATCAGCTTTAAAAGGTTTCCGTCTAATCTCAAAAGAAGAAAACGAAACTTAAAAATAAACCTATCACTAGTGTTATGACCAATAAATTAAATGTGAAAGGGAATTTGGTTGATTTCCTTTTAGAGGATTTAATAAAAGAAAATATTGCTAACTTACCCCGTAATTTTTATTTATAACTATTTCAGGGCTAAAAGTTGGCTTCATGTATTTACTCTAACACTCTGATCCTCCAAATATTTGTGCATATATCTTTGTAGATAGCAGTTTTTCAGAGAAGAAGTACATTAATGCATGCAGATATTTCTTCTGCTTGGAAATCAGGAACATCTTTCTTAATAAATAAGTATAGATATTTATTAAAAGGTCTGTTCATTTGGAATTGGCTGTAACTGCTGCTTGAGCGCTGGATGGCAATTTCATGTGTAGTGTTTGTCAAAAAGAAACAACTATGTAAAGACTGTTGTCAACTACACCTATGTTTATAGGTCCCACTCCTTTGGGACAGCAAGACTTTGGGACAGCAAGACCTACTGCAGGTTGTTTCCCTTGAATGTTCACGTTGATTCAGAAATGTGCATCAGGGACAAGTACTTTGCATAGCTCTCTGTAATACCTATCCTGTATTGTATCTGCAAATCAATACAGTGGCCTTTTTATTATATTAAGACAAAAAATTAACAAAACAAAAGATATGGGCATCACTCCATGTTTGAACTCCAATGAGTAGTTCTTATGACAAATACTACCACACACATACGGATACACGGAAAGTGACTCAATACTTGTAACTCAATAGGGATATAAGTAACTCAACAAACTCAATAGGGACAGTAGTCACCAAAATGCAAAATACATACATGAGAGATGGGAATGCCAGTCGGTTCATTAAACATTTGAAAGACAAATGTCTTAAGGTCCTAACCTAGAATGTGAGAGACTGCAGAGCAATTCCCAGCTCTGCCACAGACTTCCTCCATGACTTTGGGCAAGTCCCTTAGGTCCAGATTTTCAAAAGTTATTTAGGCACCTCAAAAAAAAATGGAAATTAAACATCTTACACTTTTGAAAACCCTGCTGGGTGTCTATCTGCATCTTTAGATATCAAATTACCTTCAAAAATCTAGCTCTTGGTCTGCCTTAGTTTCACATCTGTAAAATGAAGTACTTACACAGTATCTCCCTACCTCAAAATGAACTACACAGAAAAAAAACCCTTCATATGCAGTAAAGTTTCCAATTCTTTTCTATGACTAAAATACAGTAAGTGAATACATTATTCCAAAAGGATCCAGATTAGCAAGGATCCTTTGTACTATACAGATTAAATATTCATTATTATTAATTGCTATAGTATCTTTTCCCAAGCCACTAACTAAAGGCTTTGAAATCTCATTCTGTGCTGCCAAAGGATCAAAATCAAGGCATACATTTACAATGTTGTCTGGAATAGAACAGATTCTTAAAACTGTAAGACAGAAACATCACTACTACTGATTGCTGAGTACATTGCCTGGAAGATGGAGGGAGAAAGAGAGAGAGGTTACCTTGTACAATGCAAAATAGGCTAGCACAAACACATACAGTAAGGCCATGTCTATACTAGGAAACTGTTTCAGAACTACTAAATTCAACTTAATAACTCTCCATTTAACAAATTCAAACTAGTGCGCATTGAAATTAGTCTGAGGCAGGCTCTGTTAATGTGGATGCACTCCCTCAGACTTAGAACCCCAGGAAGCACTGGGGAGTAATTTGTTCAAAATAACGGCACCAGAGTGTCCACACTACCGTTATTTCAAAATAACTTTCGGAATTAGGGTTACAGTGAGCCCTCGCTACTTCGCGGTTCGACCATCGCGGATTCACGGGCTCACTGTATACATGTTAAATATGGTGTCCCTACTTCGCGGATTTTCAACTATCGCGGTCGGGTTTGGAACCTATCTACCGCGATAAACGAGGGTTCACTGTATTCCCCGAGAAATGAAGAGTTCAGATTTAGAATTCTGCGGCCTCTTATTTCAAAATAATGGGCTTGCTAGCATGGATGCTCCGCTTATAAATTCAACCGGGGGGGAGGTGTATTTTGAAATAAAGTCCTAGTGTAGACCACGGCTATGATACAGAACACAATGCGAAGTGCTCAGTGCCAAACAATGTGGCTGTGTCTACACTGGCCCCTTCTTCGGAAGAGGCATGCTAATTTCTAACTTTGGAATAGGGAAATCCGCGGGGGATTTAAATAAACATGGCCGCTGCTTTTTTTCCGGCTTGGGGAAAAGCCGGAAAAGAGCGTCCAGACTGGTGCGATCCTCTGGAATAAAGCCCTTTTCTGGAGGATCTCTTATTCCTACTTTCAAAGTACTTCCCCAAGCCGGAAAAAAAGCGGCGGCCATGTTTATTTAAATCCCGCGGGGGATATTTAAATCCCCCGCGGATTTCCCTATTCCAAAGTTAGAAATTAGCATGCCTCTTCCGAAGAAGGGGCCAGTGTAGACACAGCCTGTCAGATCTGCCCATATTGTCTCATGCAAAATACACAACAAACTGCAAGGAGGATAGTGAAAGCAACCTGTTACATTTATGATTAAATGTCTTTAACAAACATAATTTTTAGTTAATATGACCCTCTGCTAATTTTCTTCAGATTTATTTTCTGTGGATTTATATCTTTTTACTGAGTTTGTACTGCATAATGATAAAGAACAGGACCCCCAATGTAAATGCATAAAGCACAACACTTTCTGTCAATAGGATTTAATACAAAATTTACTGACAACTAATATTTTAAAGAAAACCATGGAGTTTTAAAAATGTATCAGCATGAAACACAGTAACCTCGTGATGCCATCTACATGTTTTGTTAGTCTTTAAAGTGCTACCAGACTTTTTTAAAGTTTTTCCTGCTACAGACTAACTCGGCTACCCCTCTGAAGTTAATAGAGTGACAGTCAGGCTAATTTGTAACTCAGTATTTTTCCAATCAGTTAGCACAACTGAAAATAAAGCAGTTCTCATTTAACCATCCTTCTCCACTGTGCAACACTTACTTGCAAATAGTACATTCTGATGATGTACACTTATCAACAATTTAATCCCCCCAATGTGGAGTCGTCACACTGTACCTGTATCCTCTGGCATTCCAGAATCAATTCAGTCGGTGATACAAGAAATACTACCCGATATATCACCACTCCAAGTACCTATGATCTGCAAGGAGCCCAGTTAAAGATCTTGTTGAACAAGTGATTTTGAAAAGTATTTCAATAGACGAGTGAAACTGCAGCACTCTGCCACTGGAGCTCTTCCTGATATAAATGAGGCAAGGGTCATATGACACCTGAGCTCCCACACAAACAGGATTATAGCCAAGAACGTACTCCCTAGTAAAAATAGAACTCCTCACAGGCCTCAAAAATCACATTCATAGAACATCCATCACTTTTGAACAGTCCAAATATACATTGTCCTTAGCATTGTTACCCTTTTTTGACCCAAACAGCTAGCCAGTTAGGTCGAGAAATTGGTGACAGTCAACTATTTCTTTGATGCAGTTTTGTTTATTTACAAAGACTGTACAGACTCCCCTGTCTCTGAACACAGAAGGAATCAAAGGGCAGGAAACAACTTCTTTTGCTCTCAGCACCAAAACACATATTTTTCAGCTTTCATCCCTGGCCCATGCATCATGCTTTCAGCTGCTTATTCAGGCTGTCTGTGTTGACTTCCTGGTCCTCTGTAGTCTATCTTTTATCCACACATACACACACCTACCCACCCTGATCCAAAAAATATGCAGCAATGCTCCTCCATCCACACAGTCTAAAACGCCTCAGTGCATTCACGTAACTCTTTTGTCTCCAGGTGTGTCTACACTGCAGGGCTTAACTCGAAATAAGCTATGCAAATTGAGCTACGTCAATTGTGTATCTTATTTTGAAATAGTTATTTCAAAATAAGGAGCGTCTACACAGCACTTATTTCGAAATAGAGCACTCTTCCTCCGAATTCCCTTATTCCTCGTACAATGAGTTACAGGAGTTGAAGTAAGAAGTCCTCCAGTTTGACAGTATTTTGACACTATTTTGAAATAACTGCCTGCTGTGTAGACGCGGACTAAGTTATTTTGGAATAGCGCAAGTGATTTCAAAATAGTGTTGTAGTGCCTTCAGAGAGCAAGCTGTGATTAACGTATCCCTACAGCTAAGTTAACTGAAGGGTGCATAAGGGTTTAATTTGACTACTAACAAGGTTTCACTCAACTTGTAACAGCATTACGCAAACCATAGTACTGTGTTTATCCACTGTGTTCATCCTCTAGAGGAGAAAAAGAACAAGAAGGCTAATGAGCCCCTAGTAAAAAGAGAGGAGCAAAACACTTATACTAAACTTCTAATCAGTCTGATTTTGGGGTTGGTTGTGTTTGTGATCTTCATTACTACCAAGACAAAGAAGGGCTGTGGTTGTTGGCACCACTGCGAAACCTGCAAAACCTCTCTTCTATGTCATATCTACCTCTCCCAAACACATGCACAGCTACTTCCTAAAATTCAGTAGGAAAAATCCTAATGTATTCAGAGGGCAGAAGGCACAACTAGGTCTTAGAATCATAGAATACTAGGACTGGAATACTAGGACCTCGAGAGGTCATCGAGTCCAGTCCCCTGCCCTCATGGCAGGACAAAAAATTGTCTAGATCATCCCTGATAGACATTGATCTAACCTGCTCTTAAATATCTCCAGAGATGGCGATTCCACAACCTCCCTGGGTAATTTATTCCAGTGTTTGACTACCCTGACAGTTAGGAACTTTTTCCTAATGTCCAACCTAAACCTCCCTTGCTGCAGTTTAAGCCCATTGCTTCTTGTTCTATCCCCAGAGGCCAAGATGAACAAGTTTTCTCCCTCCTCCTTATGACACCCTTTTAGATACCTGAAAATTGCTATCATGTCCCCCTTCAATCTTCTCTTTTCTAAACTAAACAAACCCAATTCTTTCAGCCTTCCTTCATAGGTCATGTTCTCTAGACCTTTAATCATTCTTGTTGCTCTTCTCTGGACCGCTCCAATTTCTCCACATCTTTCTTGAAATGCGGTGCCCAGAACTGGACACAATACTCCAACTGAGGCCTAACCAGTACAGAGAGACGGAAGAATGACTTCTTGTGTCTTGCTCACAACACACCTGTTAATGCATCCCAGAATCATGTTTGCTTTCTTTGCAACAGCATCACACTGCTGACTCCTATTCAGCTTGTGGTCCACTATAACCCGTAGATCCCTTTCTGCCGTACTCCTTCCTAGAAAGTCGCTTCCCATTCTTCAAGCGGTACTCTGTGACATTCCTCTCCAGCAGACTTTTTGGGGAGCCACTTGGTTCAGTTCTATGTGTCAAAATGACAATATTGAGGTGTTTAGTTATTTTAAATCAACGGGAATTTGTCTGGAAAAATCTGAGGGCCAAATTCTGTCACCCCTACTCACGGTGACCGAGCCTGTAATGTAACTACAGGAGCTAAGTATGGGGCAGTTCATAGCTGGACTACCCAAGGAGCAGAGCCGGGAGCCAGATTTGACTCAGCAAATGACGTTCTTCCTGGGCTTCTGGAGATAGCAAATGAAGGAAGAAACACATTATTTTACACTTGTTTATGCTGGCCCTAAGTAAGAAGCTCGGATTGTTTTCTTGTGTAAACCAAAAGGCTTGTTCTTAAACTGCTATGTAATATTTAATATTGAAAACATTTCAAATTATCCTTTTAGTGTGGCTAAAGAACTGAGGGGAGGGGTTGATTTTAAAAAGCACAGAAGTGATGTGGAAGCATAAGGCTCACTGATTCCCAGCATCAAGGTGATTTGGATAACCACATTCAGCAACAATAAATGGCTACACAGTAGAGATGAAAAAACTATGGTACTGCATTTATTAAAATTTCATCCAGGACACAGTCTGATTATGTGTAAAATGACCTAAACCAGCCTGGAAAACTCTTACATAGCATCTCTTCAAAACTTGACCTGGGGTCTCCACTGCTTTTTATTTCTGACAACCTAATCCTGCAATAAGATATGGATCGATGGACCCCTTAGTTTCCTCCTCCCCTCTTCTGCTCCCCCCACACACATACACTTCACTGACTTAAAGAGAGCTTTGCACAGATATAAATGTTCTCCCACATGGACCAAATTGTAGAATCATTGCCCTGCACTGGTCCTGGAGGTGAGGCTGCCACCAGCAAGCTCCTAGCTGCACCACTGGTGCTGTGGATGCTGCCAGTTCCTGGCCTGCACTGGGACAGTCCTCTGCCTATGGCAGGCTACAGCAGGGGGCAGCTCCTGGGCACCAGTTAACCAGTACATGGTAAGCATCACCTGGTACAGTTACTCATTCACCCAGTTACCTATTCACATCTATACCTGAAATTCATATAAAAAGAACTTGAAACAGAATCACCCCATGCTTGCAATATTTTAAAGCTATATCCTCTGTGTACCCTTTGTCCAATAAAGACATATGTAAATGTTACTGTACAGATTCTCATAGCCGTATTCATATAATCATAGAATCACAGAACACTAGAACTGGAAGGAACCTCGAGAGGTCATTGAGTCCAGTCCCCTGCCCTCACGGCAGGACCAAGCACTGTCTAGACCATCCCTGATAGATGTCTATCTAGCCTGCTGTTAAATATCTCCCGAGACGGAGTTTCCACAACCTCCCTAAGGCAACATATTCCAGTATTTAACCACCCTGAGAGTTGGGAAAAACTTCCTAATGTCCAACCTAAACCTCCCTTGCTGCAGTTAAAGCCCATTGCTTCTTGTCCTATCATCAGAGGCCAAGGAGAACAATTTGTCTCCCTCCTCCTTGTGACACCCTTTTAGATACTTGAAAACCACTATTATGTCCCCAGTCAGCTTCTTTTTTCTAAACTAAACTAGCCCAATTCTTTTGGTCTTCCTTCATAGGTCATGTTCTCTAGACCTTTAATCATTCTTGTCGCTCTTCTCTGGACCTTCTCCAGTTTCTCCTCATCTTTCTTGAACTGTGGTGTCCAGAACTGGACACAATACTTCAATTGAGGCCTAAGCAGCACAGAGTAAAGCGGAAGAATAACTTTTCGTGTCTTGATCATAACACTCCTGTTAATGCATCCCATAATCATGTTTGCTTTTTTTGCAACAGTGTCACACTGTTGGCTCATATTTAGCTTGTGGTCCACTCTGACCCCTAAATCCCTTTCCACAGTACTCCTTCTTAGACAGTCACTTCCCATTCTATATGTGTGAAACTGATTGTTTCTTCAGGGTGCGTCTAGACTACATTCTTCTTTCAAAAGAGGAATGCAAATGAGGGAAATCAAAATGTAAAAAAAAGCAGAAGAGCAAACGTGCTCCCTGGATGTTGCAGTATACCGGAAAAAAAACGCAGTTTAGACATACCCTCAGAGGGGCAATCGTGTTAGTCAATTTCAGCAAAAACAATGAGGAGTCCTACAGCACCTGAAAGACTAACAAATGTATCTGGGCATAAATTTTCATGGACTAGCTCACACTTCATCGATACATGTACAGTTAAAATGAGATTTTCAGCAGACATAGGTCTACTTAAAATGTGTGCCATTGTTATTTAAGTCATTCTGTCTTGGTAAGGTTCTATATATTATTATATGAATGAATGAATATGAAAACCTAATTATAATTTGGATGAGAGGTCTTTAAAAAAACCACAAAAACAACTCCCTTCCTCATCCTTTCTATGCACACAGCATCTGCACTATTATGATTAACCATAATCATAATAATTTAAAAAAACAACAAATAGTCTGGTAGCACTTTAAAGACTAACAAAACATGTAGATGGTTTCATTAACTTTCGCGGGCACAGCCCACTTCTTCAGCTGACTGGAGTTAGAAGTCCAGGCTCCTGCTGGATTCTCCATCACTGACTATTTTAAAATCAAGATCGGAGTTTTCCCCCTTAAAAACACACTCTAGTTCAAACAAAAATTAATTAATGGAAGCCCTGTTGCCCTCTAAAACAGGCAGTCAGACTAGATTATCGTAGTGGTACCTTCTGGTTTTTTAATCTATGAATGGGTGATCAAGATAGAAGACATTTCTTGAGCTCCTGGTAGGAATAGCTAATAGTTCTTAGATACTGCAGGAAACCCCAGTGCAGTAGATAAAAATGAGAAATTCTAACAAAACAGAGAAGCCCCTTGAAAAGATTTCCCTTTGATATATTATTTACAGGAAATATCCATGATTTAATCATTTATTAATGGAAACAGTA